AGCTTGTCATGGTCTGACAGTTCCCCTCAACTACTACTGCACTATTTTGCAAGACCCAGTTCCAATGACCCTCCCCTCTATTCTGCTCTTTCCTTCCAGGATAAATTGCTGTCTCCCTTTTATCACATAATTACCCTTTCACAGTAGGTAGCAAACTCTGCTACCTTTCTCTGAGTGTGTTACAGGTTCTACTGAATGTACAGCCACTGTTCAAAACTGATTATGCTAAAAAAATAAAGACTTCCATCTTTCTTTTTTAAAATACATATATATGCAAGATGGTTTGTTGCATTAAGCATTATTTTGAGCTTTTCTAAAGTTTATTTGCTTATCTTTCCCTCTTTGCTGATTTTCATTTGAATCCATCCCAAAGTCGTTGAAGCTTTTGTTAATTTCATAAGGTTATTAATTATAGAAACTACCAGAAACAAAGCTATGAAACTTTTAAACACAAAGAAAACTATTCTGCAAACAGTAAAGACAATATGTATAAAAGTTACTACTCTATTTGCATAAGAATTAAAAGGCAGGGGAACTCTTATAGCTAAATTTATCTTCATTTTAATGCAAAGTACACAATTGACATTTTCCATTCTCACCTCCCCCAGAAAAATCAAAACATCTATTATAAGCCCTTGCAACTTTTTTACCTCTGGATAAAGTGAAATTTCTATTTTACTGTGTTAACAAGGAGAGTCTCACCTATATTTAATATAGCAGAAAGTAGATTTGTCTCCAAAAAAATCAATAAATACTAAAAGTAACAGACATTTTCATTCATAGTGTATGAGTAATACAAATTAAAATTTATCTTACTGTAATTGATTATATAATATTCATGAATTCCAACTGGACAGGTTCAAACTTTATGGAAATCCAGGGTCAGTAATCCCATAAATACACTAGAGAAAAAATCTTTTTTAAGTTACAGTTAGATAATAAAACACACCAAATTTAAACTTCATGCTATAAAAAAATTTTAAAAAGCAAATTTAAACTTCACTTTTGGCGATTATAGGAAAGTTAAGCAACATTCAAATTTGAATGGTTTTCACCTAAATAGATCTTATTCATACAAACTTTTAACTATTATCTGGGGAGACAGTATATTCAATTATTTTGTGTGATATAACAATATTTTACTTAGGTATTTTACTATGTTAGTCTCTACCATCAATTGGGGCAAGGAGTCCTGCTAATTTTTTTTTTAAGATTTGATTTATTTATTCATACAGAACTGGGGTACAGGCCGGAGGTACAGGGGCAGTGAGAGGATTCACCAGAGACAGTGGGGAAGCAGAACAGGCTGACTGATGATGTACACTGCTGAGGGAAGCACAGGACAGGTCAGGAGAGGTCTGACGCGCCATGTGGATCTCCTCCGGGGCAGGCGGGGATCGAACTGATGCGGAAGTGGCTTTAGCTTCTTAGTGCTGTGCTTTAACCCACTGTGCAACCAGAGAGAGCCACCTGCTAATTTTTTAAAAATTAAGGATGCCTAGCTAAGTATAAGTGTCCTTACCTCCACACATCTCTCCCAGACTTCTTATTCCCTTGATCACTATAAAGTCTGACTCCATCAGTTAAAGAAGGGCAGAGGAGAAACTGTACAGAGCAACCCAGATGTGAAATGGGTTGATCCTTACCAGTGTTTAAAAGAAGCTTATTAATAAGGAGGCTCAACTACAGGTACACACAAAAAGGCTAATTAAGGGTTTGTTTACAAAAAAAAAAAAAAAAAAGAGGGTATATTAAGAAAGGAATGACTTAGGGAGAAAGAGAAAAATAAATTGGTAGGTTGGTAGATGCACCTTACCAGTTCCACAGAGCTGGGACCCCAGTATCAAACTGAAAACCAGCAAAAATACAACCCACATGCCTGGTTATACACCAAACCTGGCTGCTTAACTCCACCCTCCGTGCCCAGCAACCCTCCCTTCAGTGGTGATGACATTATGGGATTTGTAATCCTTGGTGTTTTGGATCTCTATGGTCTGGGGTGGGGGTGGGTCCATAAAACCTGTGTTTTTAGAGTTCATTCAGGACATCCTTTCCCCCCAGCAGTTACATGAAAACAATGTTTAACAAGTTTCAAGCACAGTGCTTCATTTATCCCCACAACACTCTGAGGCTGATATTCCAATCCCAAATCTTACAGACATGTAAACTGAGACTCCACTCTGCAGAGGCCACAAAACCAGTAAAGGGGCGCTCATGGCCGACTCATGCAAGGGCCTCTCGACTGATGCAAGGGCCTCTCAACTCAGCAAGGGCCTCTCGGTGAAGCAGGTTATGCTGGTTATAACTACGGGCCCTTTCTAAGGGGTTAACTGTCTGTGGCCATATTTTCTAACAAATAATCCTCACCCTGGTCACAGTAACTGAACGAGGAATTGGTCAGGATCCAACACTGCAGCCCAGAGGAAGACTTCTGCATTTAGCCAACCCAGTGAAATCCTCCCTTGTAGAAAAATGCAAGATTCTGAGGGAAGCTGAAAGATGAAGCAGTAACAGCAAGACTCTCAGTGAAAATGGATGAGTAACAGTCATGACACAATCCCTCAAGCACCAGGACAGCAGTATCAAGGAGTGATGGAACTGGAGAAGAGGCCTGGCAGACAGATGCTTTTAAACAGAGTTAATTAGTACCCATCAAGGACTAATTAAGAAAATGGCAACTAAAAGAAGACCAGAAGGATTTCCGGAAACTACAAATCCTTGAATATGCAAATTATGAAAATGAAATTATTGTAATCAATATTTCAACAGCCTTATTATTCAGTGGTTTCAGTACTACATAGACAAAAGTATTCATAAAAGCCTGCAATAACAAAGTAATGACAACCATGAAAACCACAGCTTTATTCTCTATTATGGAACAGCAAGGCAACAGCAAAAGTAGAATCAATTGAGATTTTTTTTTTGGGGGGGGCAACAATTACCAGGTCCCACGTCAATTAATGAAATCAGAAACTTGGGGGTTGAGCCCAAGAAGTATATATTTCCCTAAGTTTTTGCGACCAGAAAAACTAGTCTAGGATCATCAAAATCAGTGCTACCAAGAATCCTGTTAGAAACAGGATCCCTACTTCTGAGCTACCCAATCTAAAACTCTAAGAGTGGGGTCCAGCCACCATGTGATTCAGATTTACCCTAAAGGTTGAGAATCATGGCTTTAAGTATTAAAAGCTGAATCTTCTTTTAATTATAGATATGTTGAATCTGCCAATAACAAACTGAAAAAAAATAAATCCTATAAACACAAAGTCTACTTTCTTTTAAACATCATGAAGACATAAAAGAACATTCTAAGATACCGAGGCTACCAGAAATAAGTAAAAATAGGACCGTGGTGACACAATGGGTAAAGACATAGCACTGCAAGCTGGCCGCAGCCACTTCAGTGTACATTAGATCCCTGGTCCCTGGAGGTGATCCACATGGCGTGGCAGACCTCTTCTGTGTCACCCACTGCCCCCTCAGCAGTGTACTTTGTCAATCTGCCTGTCCTGATTCTGGTAAAGCCTCTCACCACCCCTGTATCTCTGGCTTGTACCCCAATTCTGTATGAATAAATAAATCTTTTCAAAAAAGAAAGAAGCAATTCAAAAAGATATTTAAATTATTAATTATATAAAAATTAAAGACACAATTTATATGTACAAAGAATGTTTAAAACTAGGTGGAGGGATGAAAACAAAGAAAAAGCTGCCAAAATAATATTGATGGGCTTCTGAGTAATTATAGTGTTTCAAAAAAAGATAATGTATGATCTTCATAATTTTGAAAGAAAAATGTTTCAAATATAGTACCTTTCCCCCTATACCTCATATTATAAATGAAAGTTAAGTTGCAAAATTATTGGAAGGAAATAAGAGTACTAGTATGACTTTAGAGTAAGGAATGCTTTCTTAAGACAAAAAAAGGAGAAACTTTAAATAAAGTGATGATGACTATGCTTGAAAACATGATAATTTTAAACTTCTGTAAAATAAAAGGTACTATAAATCAAAGGAAAAGACAAACCAGAGATCATGAAAATATGACAAAGCATAGAGAAACAACAGTCACTGCTGATGTATCTACATAAAACTTCTACTCATCAGTACAAAACCCTAATTAACCAACAAGGAGCTGATAAAGCACATGACTAAGTGACTCACAGGACAGAACATGCAAAACCACTCATAAGCACGTGAAAAGCTGTTCCAACCCACTGTGAATGAAGAAAGTGAAAAGTGAAACAATGAGATTTTTTATTTGTAAAAACAGCAATCTGTAAAAAAAAAAAAAAAGAAGTCAGAAGTTGCTGACATCAAAGAAGTACATTAGTACATTCATGCTTTTCTACTGGGGCACTAGCTGGCACAGCTGTTTCTGCGCTCCCGCAACCAGCCAGCCTCACCAGCACTTCCACTTCCAGCTACGAATCCTCAGCACATACACACCATGCACAGGGAAATCTCTACTGTGTTGTTCGTTACAGCACTACTTTGCAATAGCAAAAAAAGTGGAAACAACCTAAATTTCCACCAGCAGGGAAAAAGGCAAGTAAACTGTATTTACTTACATACATTTATTCAAAAATGTATTACATATCACCATCAAGGAAAAGAAACAGATTGTGTATCAACAAAGATTGTTCTCAAGAAAATAAAGTTACAGCATGAAATTTAATTTTAAGAGCACTATTAGAATGTCTTAAAGCTTTTGAAATATAATTTTCTTACTAGCCATCTACGTTAAAAAAAAACTTTTAAGAAAACATATCAAACTAACAGAGGTTATTTTTGCATAAGTTTTTCGATTTTTCAAATCCTGTCTCTCCTCCAAAAAATGCTTTGCCAAAAAAAAAAATCGAAAAACATCAATCAGCATGCTGTATAATGTGAACATCAACACCAACAGTATTGATCCAAGTCTGTTATGCTCAAATCACGTGATTTATTATTTTATTATAATACAAGCAAATGGTTAAATCAAAATTAGATGACACTTACTCATGTAAGGCAGTTTTTCTGGGCAGGGGAGGTATGGTGAATAAGTGAAGTTTTCTGGAAGATACGTTGTTGTTTGAATGAGATAATCACTTGAATTATTGCCTTCAGGATAATCTTGGAGAAAGAGAAAAAAGTTACAACCAAAACTTGCCTTTTGCTTTGTTCCTAGTATGAAATATGTCACTGACATTGTGAGAAGCCTACACTACAAAATTTACAGATGCACTTAAAAGCAATTATCTGTGAAGACCTAGGCAAAGCAAAATGCAGCTTCCATGGTCATTCTCTCATTCACCCCTCACCACTGCCAGATGGACCCCTCAGCATGATTTCCCAAAGGAACCCCTGCACAAGTCTGGAGTGGGCCAGCGTGATCGACGTATGCACACAAAGCAGGACCACCTGTGACCCTATGAGAACACCTGCTCCCAGCCCTACCCTGGTAGAGCCAGCTCGAAGGAAGAGTGTGCATGTCCAGCAGGGAATCCAAACAGCCAAGGATGCTTTGAATGGACACACAGCCACAGCACACTGTCTCCTGCATCCACAGAGCAGAGGGGTGAGGGTGACATTTCCTCACCACCCTACACTTAAGAAACTGAGATTTACCCAGTGCACTTACTTTTGTAACACAGCCCCTTCTAAATCTTTACAACAATGGAATACAGTCCCTGGGAGCCCTAGGGCTTAATAGATTAGGTCCATTATCTTCACATTCAGCACGTCCTCCAGTATAGAGGGCACAAGTTTAATGCCAAAGTCAAATGTTGAGTTCAAATCCCCACTCCCATACACAGGCATAACATAGTTTCTCCTTTGGAATGAACTCAGCTGTCATTTTCAGGTTTCAAAAGATATGTGCACAAAGGGCTTAGAGTAACCTCGGAACCAAAGGCATATTCAATCATTTCAGCTATGAGTGACTGATTTAAACATGCCTATGTGACCTAGCGTAGGACAGCCAGATTTGTAGGACTTTTGAACTTAGAAGCAAAGAGATCACATTTCAGTCCATTTTTGGAACAAACTTTTGAAGTACAAATCTTGGGACCATGACCTGCCAGTTTCCTATGTGACAGGAGGCCAGTGCAAGAACATGAGACCAAATACAGCAAAGAGATAAGGAAACCGCTATTAAATGGATTTCTGTCTCCTAGAGCACAAACCATGCTTCCACAGAAAATGAAGCTCTAATAGACACTTTAGGTAAATGTGAAGATACTCTTCCAATCTTCAGTAAACTGTTCCTATGACAGAAATATTCCTATCTGAGCTAGTCTGAAAGAGAAGAAAGAGAACAGGTATGTTATTTAAAAGAGAGGCTTGCTGACAGTAACTAGCAAGCAAAAGACTTTAAGCCAGAGTCATATCCTTATTGAAATGTAAAAGCTAAACACTCTCACCAAAGAAAAATGACAGACACCAGAAAACTGAACATGAAATGAGGAAAGTCAAAGAAAACTAAACATGTTCATTCCCTGCATACCTCTGGTAACCTAAACATTCATCCTTAAAACAGAGTTGACAGGGATGCAGCTGGCAGTCAGAATGACATTTCAGAGCAGCAACTCACCCTCCTCCAGACCCATCTGCAGGAAGAAGCTCTGCATAGGCCACTAAGCAGAGGTTTATGAGGATTTAGTACCATAGAGAAGGTCCAATTCCAAAGGACTGCAGAAATCCAGGCATGAACTTAACAAGGCATCAGTAAAGCTCAAAACCCAACATGATAAACAGGGACTAATAATGGTACAACTTCTAAGACATCCATCTATGATGAAGCAGGAAAGTCTCAGGGAAAAAATCTACTCCCTACCCGCCACCCTCATCCTACTGCAAATCCTCTCTTCAAAGGAGCCGTAGAAGGTACTTATCAAGGAAAATCTTCCTGTAAAGGGAGCAGGGAAAAAAGATGGGGGATTCATTGATAGTTTTTGTATGCCCAGGGACAGGGAAAAACACAGAAACTTCTCTAGTAGTGTATATTCTTTACTTTTTCAATATATATCTGAAAGATTTAAAGATGTTAAACAGAAGTATAGGAAGGTCCAAAAAAGTTCTGATTATTTCCTTGATAGTTTCAAATCTATATATTTGAATATATATAAAACCTAAAAAAAAATCCTTTTTTGGGAATTTCTGCTATGTTAGCTAAGCAACTACTTTATACTGTACATTTATATGAATTGGGAATAGAAGATAGGTTAGGAATCCACTGCCTTTATGAGTTCCAAAGGCTGGTTTCCTTATATTCATAAAGTCAATACTAACATTCTTATGCAAGACTCAAATAATTTCTTAATGTTATACAGTTAACCTTAAAGAAGAGCACTGTCTTAGTCTTCATAATTTATGGATTCTTATTAGTGCTCAGAACACTTCCATTATGATTCTGTTTATCCACATTCAATTCACAGAACTTTTAATGGTAATTTCCCTGGGGGACACAAGAGGACTGATAAACTGATAAAACAATAAAATTCTTTATCAATAAGTTTTTTTAAACCACATAAAAAACTTACAAGAAATGCAATAGCAGTATAATCACTTCCTTTAAGTGCAAAGTTTTAGAGCTAAACATATTTGTGGCCACATCATAATGAGTGCAAGGATTTCAATTCATTGCCAAACCTACTGAAATGTCTTTGCACTCCTAGAGAACTGTGTCCACTGGTACTTAGTTCATCCCAAAGTATATGATATTCACTGCCCCCCCCCACTCTGCCAAGAGCCTGAATACCTCTCTTAATTGAAATCAAATTGTCTTTCTTTTCTAGAATCTAACAGAGTACCTACAACATAGTACAAACTTGCTGGGACTGTGAACTGCAGAGTATAATATAGAACTCCCAATGGTCAGTAAAAAAATCTATTTAACCAATAAAGAAAAAGGCGCATGACTGAGTGAATCACCCAGTGGGCAATAATATAGCCAACAATGATCCAAGCTTTTGAAGACTATAATAAGTTAACCCTACAAAATCATTATCCTATAAAGGTAGTTAGCTTCATCTTGCATAACGACCATTTTCAAAATTAAGAGCAGTTTCTAAAGGTTGTGCAGGTAGACACACTGGAGACTAACCCACCACAACTGCTGAAAATGTAGACATTATTTCATCTAATGAATGGATGAAAACAGTGAGTTCTGGGGCCCAGCTTCTTCCTTCCTTCGAAAGCCACACCCATAGAAAAGAGACAGAATGAACACTGCTGGGCAGGTCCCCCTATTCAGCTTCCCACTCAAGGGAAAAGAAGAGGACCTAAGGAGACTTTTCAAGAACTTTGCTTTTTCTGCAATGGGGAAGCTTAAAACTGTAACAGAATCTAAATGACAGCTCTAGTTTCTTTACCACTGCTTTGCCAGGTCTGGCAGCATCTGAAGCCCCAGACCATGCAGCCATCAGATAATTAAACTGGGTTATTTCTAACAAACCTACCATCATTATTTCATTAGTTCGGTCTATTACCTGGATTTTAATCTCCTGTGATTCTAATAAAGATCTTCTTCCAGATAATGTTTTAAAAATCACTTATTTCCAGTTTTATATAATTTATCTACTAATCCTTTCAAAGGTCTTAAAATTACTAAGAAACTTATATAATTTAAAACAAGAAAACAAACTCAAGTATTCCTTCAACAGTTGGGAAAACATCTGAGAAATATGAATGGGCATAAAGAAAGATGGCAGAATGGCTAATACAAATTATTCCCCTTAGTTAATTCCTCTTAAATATATTAGGTGACTTTAAAAGTTATAAATTGCCTTTTGTACTTTTTGTTTGCAACTTAATGTATCTTTGCACAGAATTCCAATCACATTTTTGATTACCTTTTTATTTACCCTCAAATATGTGACCTCTATGTGGAGAATCTCTCAGTACAATTAGCAGATAATACTCTCATCTTTAGTACGGAGTTACTCGAAAGTAAACCAGGGCTTGAGAGATACGTTAACTGCTTTCTGAAAAGAAGCATATGAAATAAAAGCAAAGCAAGATTAAGCAGGAAGAAGCCTTACCTGTACCATTCAGTGTAGTGTTTTTATTTGTGTACAGCCTGATCATATGTCCTATTGTTTTCACATTTTCTCTCAACATTATGCCTCGAGCTTGTACCATAAAGAGGTATGTGTTGGCTATAAAAGAAGAAAAAGCAAAACAGAAAATGTGATGACTCGGTAAGAAATTTTTAATATAAAAGAATATTCAACATTGAAGAATTGAATAAACCCAAACTGATTCACATCCAAAAGGCAAACAGAAAAATATGATTATGTCTCACTGTCAAAAACTTATAAAAACAAACCACTTTTTCAAAACAATAAAAATGAAAAAATTAGGGGGCCGTCCTAGTGGCACAGAGGTTAAGGTCTCAGTGCTATCTAGCTACTGCCACTCACTAAGGCATGAGTTTGAACGGCAGCCATGGAGCTGACCCACATAGCACAGCAGACCCCTCCTGTCTTACCTACCGCTCCCCTCAGCAGAGTATTTCAGTAGATCTATCTGTTCTGCTCCCTACTCTGTCTCTGGTGAATCCACCCCCAACACCTCTAGCCTGCACCCAGTTCTCATATGCATAAATAAATAAAATTAAATCTTTGAAAAAAATTAAGTAGTAACATCTATCTATCAAATGGAATGGGCCTAAATGAACAAAGTGAAACATCACAATGAACTCCACAAGACAATGAAATATAGTAAAGCTTTTTTGCAATTCCTAAGCATTCAATCATATAGTTATAAAATTTAATTGCTCTAAATCTATATTCTCTGCCACCAAACCTCCACAAAGGCAAGGATACCTTACTGAATATAATCACCAAATATCTAGTATTGACATGGATCTTGCCTAGTATCCTACCAGTCCTCAAGATTTTGGGGAGAGGGAGATAGAGGAATAAAGGGGTAGGACAAAGGGTAACCTACAATCAGAATTATTTCAACTTTTATCGTCCTTTTCAACCATAAACCTACCTATCATGATTGTAAAAGCATCAAAATCAAAATCAATGTGCATTTTCTAAATGACCAGCTTAATTTTTTGTGCTAAGTCCTTTAGAAAATAGTGACAAATTTCTTTCTTTGGAGAAACTGGTAAATTATGATAGATTACAAAAATCTCTGCCTTTGATACACCCCAACTTTTCAGAGGCAGAGAAGTCAACTCAAAAAATCCTTTCTGGGTCCTGATTCTTCTAGCTCCGCACAAATTTACAACAGCTCGTTGGATCTGTTTCCTCATCTAAAAAACTATTATACTAGATGATCTTTAAGGTGCCTTCTAACTTCTCCAAACATAATGCAAAAAATCACAAACACCATTCAGACAAGAGCTGGGGAGGTTCATTACATCAAAAATCAAGAAACTACAAATCTGAGTTAATGTCTCAATTTTAAAATAAAGTATGAGAGCACATCAATGACATTTGAAAAACAAATGCTGAATAAAAAAGTTGAAAATGTCAATTTCCTGGACCCTGTTACAGCATGAATATGGTATAGAGAGATGGGTAAAATATTTGCTACCTGCTTCCCACCTTTTACTTAATTTGAACTTGCTCAGAGCATGAAAGAGTAGAAACTAAATAAAAGTAGAAGAGAAGCAGAGTAAAATAATCTTTCTTTTATTTTCCATAAAAGTGCAGAGAAGTCCAGGTTTCACATAACCTTTGCCTCCATCATTCTTAGGGCATGTCTACAACCTCTCTAGAAAGCAACCCTATGATCAGATTTAACTTGTTTAGGCTTGAACTTATTATACCAGGTTACAAATACCACAGGTTTTTATTATGTGCTTGCTCTAGAGTGACTTTAAAAGAAAAAAAGAAGTGTGAAAAATCATAAGAAAATAGCCAATGAGAAATGTAGAAAAATATAACAAGAGCAAGTTAACAGCAACTCCACATTAAACCAAGGTCTAAAACTCAACTGGAATGATTCAAGAGGAAATAACAATCAAATAGACTACAAAGGCCAATTGACTTACAGCTTGGATCAGTCAATTCTAGTTACATATAAAATTTATTGTCAATGATAATAATATGACATCTGTTCTGGACCAAACTGTAAAAAGATTTGTCGGGCCCTCCCCAGTGGCACAGCGGGTAAATGCAGCACTAAAAAGCTAAAACCACTTCCGCATGAGTTCAATCCCCAGCCTTGGAAGTGACCCACATGGCACGACAGACCTCTCCTGACCCGCCCACTGCTCCCCTCAGCAGTGTACTTCGTCAGTCAGCCTATTCTACTCCTCACTCTGTCTCTGGTGAATCCTCTCACCGCCCCTGCCACCTCTGGCAGTTCTGTAAGCATAAATAAATAAATCTTTAAAAAAAAAAAAATTTGTCATAGAGCAGCTGGACTAATTAAAGGGTTAAGTCAAGTTTAAAATCTGGGAAACAATAACAGCTAAGCAAGGTATGCTAAAACCATGTATGCATTGTTGTGAATCCTATTTTATTAATTTTTTAAAACTATGCAACTTTTCCACTTTTTTATAACAGTTTATTTTTACATCATTTTGTACTTTTTTTCCATCTCAATTGTAATCCCCATGGGTTTCCCATCACCAAGTCACCCGTGTGCCATCGCCATAATCCCATGCACTTCCCTCCCCACCCCCCCGTTTTTGATCCCATCCCCACTCCACCCCCACAAAATGTCTCTGGTATATGGCTGTTCATTATTCTTGTTATTTTCTCGCCTGGTCCATTATACTCCTGCTATAAGTGAAACCATCCGGTATTTTCCTTTTTCTTTCTGGCTTATCTCACTAAGCATGATCTTTTCCAGCTCCATCCAAGTTGCTGCAAAAGACATGTGTTTCTCTTTTTTGGTTGCTGAGTAATATTCCATTGTATATATGTACCACATCTTTTTAATCCAGTCATCTACTTTTGGGCATTTGGGCTGCTTCCATGTTTTTCCAGTTGTAAATAAAGCAGCAATAAACATGGGGGTACAGGCATCTTTTTCAATCAGTGTTTTTGTGTCTTTTGGGTAGATTGCAACTTTTATACTTATAATGAATACACCTACTCATACAAAAAGTTGGCTTCCAACCAAATCAGATTTAAGTAGCAAGGAAAGATCTGGGATAGAAAAAGAATAATCAAAGTAATTTTTTTAAAAAAAAACTTTAAAAATCAAGTAACAAAACTTAAAAATTATTACTGACACCTGTGAAAAAAATTAACCATTTGCCAGAAGAAAATAATAATTAGATGGAGAAAAATAAAATAAAGCTCTGATGCAACCTCTCCAAATGGAAAAGCTATTAGTTTATTTTAAATCATTTACAGTTAATTGAGTTACATTCCTTAAGTTAATAGTCCTCCTGGGCTTAATCCCTAAAGATCAAAACCCATTAGGGGATGAAGCTGTGTTTAAAGGACAGTTGTTAACAGGAAGAAAGTGACCAGTCCATGTGTGTTCCTGGGACACTGAACCAGCACAACGTCAGTTCCTTTGTCTAACAACTTCTGAACATTTACCTGCACATAAAGAAAAATGTGCTGCTTATTACTGTTAGTATGGAATGGAATGTTTTACTGGCAAGTCAATAAGTTAGAGAAAATCCCTGTCCAAAATGTCTATGCTAAATTTAAGAAACTACATTTCAGCAAACAAACAGTAAATCTTTCTCAGCAGAGCCTGTAGTCTCAAGACAATTCAGAGATAGGTTAAAGCCTACCCCTGCTCAATTAAAATCATGCCAGATTTCTTCTCATTTAATCAATTTGCTATTTGCCTCTGCAATGTGAGCATAAATTTAATGTATTTACCAATTCTACTGGGGGTGGGGGTGGGGGAAGGGAGGGTGCAGGTGAGAAAACCACAATTTTAAAATAAACTCTTCCAAAAAATCAAATGTGAAGTAGTTTCTAGGCATCTTGAGTTTATGAAGAAATTTATGAATTTACCTTGCTAACTGAATAAAATTAAAGAATGCACTTGCTATAAAGCTGTGTCTCCTCACTCCTTTCATCATCCAGCTTAGTAACCTAAACATGCTAGACTCAGGATTCTGACGGCCTGCAATGATCTAGAAAGATCTCCTGGGCTCCAAAGGACTCAAAGACAACATTCTGACATCCTTGTTCTCAAAAACATTGCTTCAACCACCAGGTCCTTTACTTACAAAAGAAGAGTCAAGAAAAGAACTGATTTCGAGAGGGCGATAATGTTGGTTAGTCACCCTGCAGCAAAATTATAAATCTAAGACTGGAGCTGAAAAAAAGGACTAGAAATGCAATCTGGGGAGACATTCACAGAAGAGTGAAATTACCACAGAAAAAAACTATCCAGAAAAGAGATAAGAAGGTGAAGTTCAGGGGCATAGGACAGGCGCCAAATAGGGAGCACTAAGATAAAACAGTCCCACACAAATTAATTTGAGATTGAACACAGTAAAGAAATTAATGGAGTAAAAGGCGCTGTCCAATGTTGTCAGCTCAGAATAAATACTAAAAAAACAAAAACCTTAAAAAAAAAAATACAGAGGGCTCTCCCTGGTGGCTCAACGGGTTAAAGCACCGCATTATGAAGCTCTCCAAAGGCACTGTAGCAGTTCACAGTTTGATCCCCTACCAGGGAGCTGACCTACATGGCGCAGCAGACCTCTTCTGACAGCACCTGCTGCTCCCCTCAGTGTGTATTTCAGTACATCTGCTTGTTCTACTCCCCACTGACTCTGGTGAATCCTCTCACCTACCATACCTCTGGCCTGTACCCCAGTTCTATAAGCATAAATAAATAAATCTTAAAAAAAAAAGTGTCTGCTTTTTGTCAGGCATCCTTAGGAAAGTTTTATATACACTTACTTAATCTTTACACCCAGCCTTAAAAGATGGTTACTAGTATTATTCCTGTTTTACAGGTAAAGAAATTGGCACAGAGTTAAGTAACCTGCTTAAAGTTACACAGTATTTAGCAGATGGTGGAGCTAGAAACGCAAACTCAAGAGTCCAATATTAGCAATTTAGTCCATTACCACCAAGCCATTTAGCCTCTTACTACCCATGAGGTCTTCAAGAGAGCAGTTTCAGGAGAGCAGTGGAAGAAAGGGAAGGATTAAGAACGGAGTGACAAAGTGAAAGTGGTGATGTTTCGAAAAAGGTAAGTGACAGCAAGG